TCCTTGAGCTAATTCTTATAATCAGATTTCTCAATTTCTTAGCATATTTCGTTATAACCTTGCTTAGGAGGCTTTCATTTCGTATGAAGTTGCGTGAAGAAGAGCTTCGTAGGCCGATCTCACCAGAAGTCGACGACTGATTCGCGTTGTTCTGCAGCTGTTTGGCTTCATTACGATGTTGGTTTTAGATAAAAACGGAATGAGCTTCCATAATCAGAGTTATAACTCATTTTTGTACGAGTTTCATGATAACAATATTTCAAAACAAACCCAGGAAGCCTTCTTGAACTATTGCTAACGGAGAATTTTGCAAAAATGAACTCCAGTTCTGATGATGTCCATCGTATGATGAAAGCAAGCTCGTTTTTTTTACACACGAAACGAGGTAGGATAATGTCTTAAAGCCAAAGAGCTGCAGAACTACTCGAATCAGTCAGTGAGACCGACCCACGAAGCTTTGCTTCATGCCCTTTCATAAAAATTAAAGTCTCCACAACAATAGTATCTTAGGAGATTCACTGAAACCCAGTTACTCTTCGTATCTTTCCAGCCTGCCGAAAATCGTTGTCATGCAGCTTATCCACTATTTTTTGGAGCTTATGGAAGTCTCCAGAACTAAGAGCCTCTGACAAGATTTTCCTGAATCTGGTCTTAAGTATAATTAATGAGTGCAACTTATGACATACGTCGAGAAGTCCAGTTGAACAGTAAAAGCGGGATTCCCAGTAAATACACGAATCTGGAACAAGTGTGGTGTGAACATGACCATTTTTGCCTTGAAAGTCATACTCGTCGTGTAAACCAAGTGGCTTCTTGTATAGCCGAGCTGAATGGGGACTTGACTTTGATCGCATGAATTGAAAACATGCATAAATGCTAGTCTTGCGGGCCTGAAATTGGCCTTCAAGCTTGCTTTCCTCATAAGTTCTGTACCTGATTACTTTTTGAAGTTTGATAATTCCCTTGCAAATTCGAATGTTCGAATGGTAGGAGGGCGGAATTTCACATTTAGATGGTCTCCTCCTCGATGCAGATTATCAGCTTTCAACCTCTGCAGTCTAATGTTGCTCTGGCAACAACGAGGCCTCTGCTGCATCTACTTTTTTGCATTCATTGCAAAATGCATAGGTCGGCCGGATGTGCGCGCCGGATGCTGGATAATCTCCTATTGAGACTCCAAAGCTGTGCAATTTCCACATCCAAATAGCTACGATTCGAAAAGTTTTTGCCACCACTTTAGTTCCTGTTATGCCTATATTTGTTCTTATGTGCTGCCAAAGCCTATCGTGGTCACGGCGACCAAGATTTGTGCGCAGAGGGGAGGCTGCACTTTCCATGATATTTTTGAAGTATAGTTATCACAAAAATAGACTTGATTTCTCCAGATTTACTGTTGAAGCTTTCAGCTTAAGCAGAGCTATCATCTACGCCTAGTTTCACGCGAAGCCCAGTTTAGAAAGGAGGTCCAAAGCTCTAGGTCGACGTCCGACAACTGTGCTTAGCGCCAAATATCGCCACTTGCAGAAAGGCTACGCACATTCTAAAAGCCAACAGTCCCCCTGGACTGTTGCAGACATGTGAAAAATACCTATTTGTACTGAGGAAGGTGACGGGTATGGTCAGACGAATGGGTCATCCAGGATGGATCCCACCCGAAAGCAGACAATTTGGTCACTCGGAGAAGACCCTTAGAGCTGAACTGGCCGGAGCAGAGACTCTCAAAACGCCGAGGCTGGGTAGCAGCTCTTGTTCCATAGGACACAATTTTGCTTGTCTAAACAGGTAGCAGAGCTATTGGCCAATCAAGTTCGTGTTTGATCCGCATGATCTGTCCAAAATTCGCAAAGAAAGCGTTCAACCTCGGGTCAGTGCGAACAATCGGAGCTGTGCGATGCATGAAACATTACGGATAATGTGTATTCAACCAAAGCAGTTTTCTGAATATTGACAATTTTTAGTAAGCAATTCCTATATGAAGCAAAACTGGGTTTCGAAGAATTCTCTAGTGAACTATTGTGGAAAGTTGGTTGGAAGGGATTCGTGATGTGGTATCACCGGAAACCGAGGGAGGATTGCCGTGTAAACAAGATTGTTGAATTGTGCGAACAAGTCTTTGGCGAAGTTAGGCATAAAAAAAGCGACAGTGGTTGCAGCCGGTCAGCTTTTCTCTTGGTTTAGTATATTTTTGCTTTATTTTGGCAAGTATGAATAGCTGCTCTGATGATGTATGTCACTGTACAGACGAAAGCTTAGCACTATTTCATCCGGGTCGCAGGACGTCGAGCCGAGAACTTATTCGCTCAATTCAACAGTTTGCCTTATGCTGCAATTCTCCTTCGGTTTTCAGTGAGACCACATCACGAATTCCTTCCAAACAACTTCCCCTTCGAAATTAAGAGTCATGCCACAACACTTTTTTGGCTTTGTTGAGTTACTTGATGAACGATTGTAAGCTATGGTGTAGTCTCTATGACAAATAATATTTCGTTAAGTGGAGTAGTATAAGCTTTAGGATTAACATTAAACCAAGACCCAGAGCCTAAAACGGGAAACAATTTAGGCAATTAGTCAATCATGAGATTGACGAACTACAGAATGGTACATATTTTACACTCTATAGTAAGTTGTCTTAAAAACAAGTTTGACTTCAATTTTAGTCAATTATTACTTTACTTAATTTTAGGTTAGACTAATTAAATAGACACTTCTGGTACCTAAGTTATTGGCTAGAAAGATTGACGACAATCTTTCTATTTGGCAGCACTTCAAAGAGAGTCTGGGGGGCATTTTAAGTTAACGAATAGGATAGATAGTAATACTGGATTCAAAATAAGTCGAAAAATTATAGCAAGTTGCCATTTTTAGAATTCATAGCTAGTAAAGGAGGGAACAAATCGGGTGGGGAAGTGTGTAGGAAACCCACAAATTCGAGTTTCATTATTAATTTCTTCTCTAAGCATAATTATGGTGTTGGAGTAGGGTTTTGAAGTCAATGATATTTTCTGTTTAGTAAACGTAAATCATCATGTTCATCCGTTAGAAAGGAGAGGAAAAATCTCAGTTCAAAAAAAATATACATTAGGATTAATTGTCAATACATTCATAATCTTAAGATATAGGATTAGGGGAAAAGACCACTTTGAGCAAAATAGGGAATTGGACAACTCCCACTTAGGTTTTGGATGGTATCGTTTTCTAGCTTTCAAGGAAATAGGATGAGAAAATGGAATGTCTTCCTTTGGAGAATCTTCAAGCGCCCTCTGCAGATCAAATTGTTATGAGATTTTGTCCTCGTGTACTAGTATCTATGTAGAGCACGAAGCCCCTTGTCAGAGTGTGCGGGTTTAGAAACCGAAGTATGGTCTCTACAAGACACCAGATAGATTGGTCTGAAACCCAACCTTTGACATATTGTGGAAACTTTACAGCTAACAGGAAGAATAAAAAGTCAAATAAAATCAACAAAACAAGCATTATCCTGAAGAGGAGAAGTGAGTGTGAAACAATGTCTGGAATTGGGCAGAGGGCGCGATAGCGGAACGAATCACCGATTAGAAATAGAGGACTTGGCTAATCTTAAGGCTGGTTTAGTCTCTAACACGTCAAATCACTCATGAGCATTGTGTACACAGAGCAGACACATTTACAAACCTAGAGCACAAGTCAAAATGGCGGGTAAATAGCAATGAACACATTTGTCTATTTTGCAGACATCACACAAGTATGCCTCATTAAGGTAGAAAAACGGGACACTGGACAGCCTGGCGCCTTTCTTGGTTTCGTGTTTTCGTGAAGTTCTTACTAAATGATGGTTTCAGTCCATGAAAACGTCCTTCTGAGCAACAGAGACGAAAGCTTAGCACGGGCAGATTTGACCGAAAGCATAGCATAGTTGGGATACAGGAAGTTGAGACCAGACATTATCATCTTCGTCTTCACCTCCGTGGCCAAGCGACCGCCAGCGAGTAACTAAGGTGTTCTACGAGGCTTATTGCAACCTCAAATACGCTTTGTATGAAAATACAGGCAATTCAAAACCCTTGATGGGTCTGGTCTGCCAGGGCTTCCCTCTCCCGGAAGCACCAGTTTCCGCCCTGATTCTTCGTCGGTCTACACGGAGACACGTTGTCTGTTCCAGCACCAAGTTGATACCACCAAAACCGAGGGTGACTTCAATGGCAGAGACAAAATCACCTCCTCGGTCTCCCCTGCCCTCATAGTCCTGCAGCAGCCGCCATAGCGACAAGTACACGCAGTCCCAGAACAACGTCTCATGAGCAAAGAGATGTGGCGCATGGGTGCCATTTCAGCACACCAACAGACGCACACGATTAGCTCATATAAAGCGTTTCTGGCTCCATTTTCAGTTGACAGCTTCACATCGAATGCGAAACTGCGCCAGAATGCTATTCATGTCTGTTCATATAAAAATAAATGTCACTCGTGGATGCAAAATCCGGCTTGACAGAAGCCTAACTACAATTGTACTGAGTTTGCCCAACGCCCTTTTCGTGCCAGCGGCAATACTCGGTCGGTATGCTGGAGTCGCGCCACCAGTGCACTATCCAGCAACCAGCGCACATTCTCTGCATACCTTCATTATGTGGTGTGGGATGGAGAAAATAAGTGAAAATGCTTGCCTTCAGTGATGGACTACTGACTTTTCAGTCGAGCCTCCTTGCCTCTCAGCTACTCTACGGGACTCATTTTGGTGTGCTATGATTAAGCAAAGGAGCAGATAGTTTGGCGTGTATAGGAGGCGAAAAGGTGAATGTGCTTTCGCGGTCTTCGTCTGATGCGCATACCGGGCACGACCCTGGTTCACAGATCGGTCATATTCACAGAAAGACTCTGCAGAAGGTGGCCGAATGTGCCTCGTGCTGGTGCACTGACGAGGGGTGCTTCGGTAGATAATGGCCGATGCAACGCTTCACACACTCCACCGAGTCAAGTGGTTGGCGCCCGAAGAATACACGAGGTCAATAGGCGCAATGTCGCCAAGATCACGCTTCAGAGTGTCCGTGTAAACGAGGGCAACAGGCGAGGCGAAGATGAAGCCAAGTCTAAATAGCCGATCCGTTTTGCTGATTAGGCTCTACTCGAAAAGTATCAATTGATGCAACCCGCCCTTCCGAATCCGATGTCCGATGTGTGTCCTTTCCGAATTGTGGTAGTGCCAATTTGAACTAGACCCTTGCGACCCGCAGGGTCTCCGCATCCGGCATTCTGAAAGGGACGATAAGCCTAAAGTATGACTAAATCAAGTCGAAAAGGATTGCACGGCGTTAAGAGTTGGGCTGAATCCATCTGAATCCGGGTGATTAGGGTCTGGTGAAGAAATGAGATATCGTGCAGACTTAGCATGCTGCAAACATAAACATGTGGTACCCGGCATTCAGGGAATGAGGGGCGCTAGTTGTCATCTCTCCCCAAAGCACCGATCGGAGCAGGAGGTATAAGTGTTGCCAAAGCATCATACGGCACAATTATCGCTAGCAGAATACTTTCTATATGCCTTGAATTCCAGACTTATCGTGAACTTCTCCTTCTGGTCTCCTTCTCCTCATAGAACCTCTGGTTGGCAAGTCCACTACTCTCCTGGCCGGATTTCATGAGCCCGGTGTGTGAGCCACGAAATCAACTGTCATTTTCAGCAATTAATTAGGCATTTAAACTACTGACTCATCATGTAGTAGTATGTTTCCAGGTTATACTGGCGCCCTTAAATTGCAGCGTTCGAGCAGGTCCACTACCGACGATTTTTCCTCCATCTTGGACGGGTTATATGCCAGTGTCCGTGAAAGTACCAAAAGTATCCATAGAGAGGGGATTGCTGATTTCACGGAGCAAGAACAATGAAACATGTGAATATCATTGCTCTT